AAAAAAATAAAAAGCAACTTAAATATTTTCAACTTTCAATTTAAATGATTTCACGTGATATTAATACTAAAAATAAAATATATTTTCATAATTTTGTATATAAATTGATGGTAAAAAAGTATAATAAATATATAAACAAAGATTAGAAACACCTTGATTAAACACAAGGGCAGTGTCATAGAAATAACTTTTTTTATATCATCTTTTAATACAATTTTTATATGTTATTAAATGAGTGAATGTATTCAATATTACGAAATCCATATAAATAAAAAGAATCAATCATATAAATGACACATCAAGTTATATAAAAAAATGAGATAAAAAATTATCTCAAAATACTTTTCCTAAATACAACAAGTCAGAGTGACCTTCTGCAGAAGACCTGAATTTTTATATATCATAATGTCTTGGTAAATCATTTTTTTTTTTTTTTTTGACAAGGGAAATATGGGTTAAGAATTAGTATATGCTCAAGTCATGATTCGAACTAAGGAAGTGGATGAACTCCACCTATTACTCATGAAGTAACGTGACTCATAAAGTAGCGTGACTCATCCATTGGACCACAAAGAATTCAATGTCCTGGCAAATCATTTAATATAAATTAATAGCAATTATGTATGCAGCTCGATAGATATAAAAATGAAAAATCAAAAGCCCTGTAAGGTATGGTGGATTAATTATTCATCGGAAACCAATTATTGTCCCCTGTCCTTCCAATGCATGGAAACATAAATGGGGCACGTGTTAAGTTACTAGGAAAAGCTGAATCTGGTTGCATAATAATTGTACCAATATTAAATTTTAATAGAACTTTTTAAATTTGTGCACAAGAATGTATAGGTTAAAAATATTATTTTGGCATTAAATAGTTTTAAAAATTAGAAATTGATTTTTATTTAATTAATTATTAAATTAGATAATTTACATATTATTATTAATAAAATTAATATTAATTTTTTATCATTTGTAATATCAATTAATATAAAAAAATGATTTAAAAACAACTTTTCATATGATGTTTTAATACAATTTTATGATCATTTAAATAATTAACTTTTTATATTCATTTAGGATATGTGATTTAAATGTATCTATTTATTTAATAATATATAAAAAAATTATAAAAACAATTATTCACACTGCCCTAAAAAAAATACTACCTTTAACTTGTCTTCAAATGCACAAATTAAAAATATCCATTTTAATAATACTTCGAACTCCTTTTGGTGGCACTATCTATTAAAACAAATTAATTTAGGGGGAGGGAAAAAAAGAAAAAAAGACAACATCGTACAAATCAAATTCTACCAAGAGCTTTGTACGGATAATAAGGCATCATTCTCCTTTTAGTGTTGTTCCTCGATCCTTTCTAATTTGCAGAATCTGCACCATCTTTTTTTAGTGGTAAAAACATACATATATGCTTGTAAATATTATATGCAATGTAGGAATTGATGAAATTGGTCCTAGCTTTTTTAATGTAGAATAAAAGTGTATAAAATATAAATTACACAATTAATAAAACATAATTAAAAAATTGAGGAAAATCCTCATACATAGGAGTTAATTTCACTTTATAAATTCATTTACCACTTAATCTGAGGTTTCATTGGCTGGTTTTAACTTTTTCTTTTTCTTTTTTTTTTTAAAAGTCAATATTTCAAATTTTAACTAGAGACTATTTGTTTTAATTAGATTGTATAACAAATTTTCTATTTATTTTCTTAATTAATTATACCCTATTTGCATTACATATAATTTAAACTAGAGATTTTTATTTTATTATTCTCACTTATGAGAGTTTAAAATTTTCATTCGTTTGCTAACAATATATCAAATCAATTTTCAATTTTTTTTTTCTTTTAGGTGGGACTTAAGATAGATGTTTCTCATTTCTATCATGTCTATATACAATCGTTATATTCCAATTCCATCATTCAATCCCATCACATTGAAATGAAGATAAGACAAACATTAATGATATATATAAATCTAAGAAAATGAAACAAAACATACTCTCGAAACATAAATGTAGGAAAACTATAGGGCAAATCAATAGAATTCATAAACTTCAATCCAAATATATTTAATAAAAAAACTTGTGTATATAACAAGTCTTGTGCCTCTCTTATTATTCCATATGCTATAAAGTTAAATTGTTCTTTAGTGATGTTGAATTTGCGTTATAACATTTGAGCTCTATATATGTATATACATTAATACATGACTTTTATAGTCATCAATAAAAATAAATGTATTTGTAAGGTAACAATCACTCAATGTCACAAAGAAGTGCATTTGTTCAAGAGAAATAGAACATCAAGGAAGATTGAACCAAAACCTGTATAGGGTTGTAATCAAACATTAATCTCAAGATATATATATATTAAAAAAAAAAAAAGAAGGGAGACATTCATGAAAATTATGAGGAAAAAAGAGAAAAAAAAAGGGAAACCGTAAAACAATATATGTAGAAATGGAGAAACATAGGAACAGATAAATCAAATATGTCCATCTTCACATTGCCAAAACAGAAATTCATCTTGAAAAAAATAAAAAATTTAAAAAAATAAATCCATTGCCAAAACAGAAAGCGGTTATGTGTGCTTTTCAGACATCACAACCTCCGCACAAACCTAACTCGGCCGGATCCAGCCCATTGCCACGTGCTATCCATCCCCCTTGTGCGGGATAAATCCCTTTTGCTTTTTTTTTTTTTTTTCTTGAGAAATGCTAATTGCACTCAATGAATTGTTTTTTTTTTTATCTTGCACGCAGTGAATTGTTATGTGTAAGAATACATGTCATTGATTGATTTAGCTACGTGCACTCTTTAAAAAAAAAAAATTAAAAACATACACTCGACCAAAAATGGTGATAAGTGCAGCCAATATTACTTTGCGTTTTTTATTTAACAATGAGTTGCGTAATAAAAAAATAAAATTTTTAAATCCTTCTTCTTTTCACAAATTCTCAACTTAAAGCCTTTAATTTAGAAAGTCACAAGACGTAGTGTTAATTTAGAAATATTGGATTGTAGTAGTATTTTGTAGATTTTTTTTTCTCTTTTAATATTATAAAAGTATATATAATATATGATATATTTAATATTAACTTTAATTTATATTTTATATATTTTTATAATAATAAAAAGATATAAAAATGAAAAATTAAAATATCGAAATGGGTTTTTAAACGAAGCCTTAATGGTTGGAACCAACCTCTTTCGCATTTGAGTGTGAGTTATGTTGAATTCTGCCATCTCCCTGCCCTATCCAGCATTTTGGGCCTGTTATAAACTCATAAAAAGGCTATCCAAATGACTCATTTGCACTTACCAACGACCCTCCTCGGAGTATAGAAATAATAATTACGTAGGGCTTTTCCGTCATTGAGCATGCCAGAAGGATGGTGGTAGTTTGGATCATTGAGATGACTTTGTACTGACCTTATCTTTATTTTATTCCGTAGTTTGCGTTGGTTTTCGAAGGAGTTTTTTTTAAATGACAATTATAGCCGACTTTTTCAACATTCTTTTTTTTTTTTTGTCATTTTACTCAATAAAAAATTAAAGAATTTTTCTAAACCACATGTTAAGGTTATATATTCATTATCAATTTACATAAAAAAAAATATAAAAATTAACATTAGTTTTAATATTATTATATAAATTAATTAAATATTTAATAAATTAAAAATTAATATTTTTTATATTAATTACATGATAAAAGATAATTTTTTCTCATCTCATCTTATGTCTCATCTTACATGCATCTCATATTATTTAAATTTAAAATTTATTATTTTTAATTAAAAAATATTATTATTAAATTATTTAAGTTATTAACAAAAAATTTAACTTTTAAAAAAAATAATTTATTATAAAAAATATATTCATTATATTTTGAACATGTGTCCATCTTTGTGGCACACATTAAAATAATTTAAAATTAAAATAAAATTAAATTAAAAAACAAATGGGGTTGGTTATGGCCTCATAGGTTTTCTTTTTTCCTCCATGGTCCACCGAAGACAATTTTACTATAAATACGCTTTTTATATAATTTTTCGAGAAGGATATTTCTGTCATTTGATAATTATACTCAAAAAACATCAGGCCTTTGTTTTTTCTAAAAAAAATCTCCTTTATTCTTATTATTATGTCATTCTTAATTTTATTACTTGTCAATTTGGCGAATTAAATTTAAAAAAACTACATTAAAAAAATGGTGAGGGAAAAGAGGGAGTGGTGAAGAAACAACAGCGACCTCTTCCCTACTCTCTCCTCTCTCCTTGGGAGAAAGATATCATATACATCATCATCTGTTGCTTCTTTTTCTTTTCCTTCAGGCTACCCTCCATTTTCATCTTGTTATTTTATTGAGAATATTTTCACCTTTTCTTTTCTTTTCTTTTCTTTTCTACACAAAAACAGTCACTGCTGCTGCAAATTTTAAGAGGAAGCGGAAAGAAAAGGAGAGAAAGAGAAAGAAAGAGACGACAGACACAGGACGAATTCAACAAGCTTTCAATACCACAGAAGAGAAAACGATGTCTGAGTGCTTTACATCCTTTCGCCCTCTGTAACTCTTAAGAGGTTCGCACACCCCCCCGCTATATATATATATATTACTCACACCTATCTACATACAACTAGCACAAACAAGATGAGCAAAGCTGAAAATGATGCATATATATGCTTCTATATGTAATTTGTTTTTGAATTCACTTCTTAATCTGAGGTTGATTTTGTTTGTTTTGTTTTATGGAAACCGATATATATATAATTGAGCAGACAAGCGGATTGATGTGGAGATGATGAAGAGATTGATATGGGAATAGCAACACCGCCTCTCCCTTTGATTCTCTCACAGCCAAAGGTTCAGAATCAAATTCCAATTCCAGACAAGTTTAATCCTGCGAAATCTATGTCCCAGGATTATCAGCAAAGTCTCTTCAGCTTCCCGAATGGGTTCGATAGATCTGTGGTGACGACCCACCAAGAACAGCAGCAGCACCACATAACTCAGCAGATCCGGAGAGACAAACTCAGAATTACGGGTGGGTTCGAGCAGCCACCTCCGCCGTTAGTTGGGATCGAGGAGGAGGAAGCAGGCGCGCTTCCGGTCTATGAAACTGGAGGTATGTTATCCGAAATGTTCAATTTCGCCCCGGCTGTTGGCGCCTCGACGGAATTATTAGCGCAGCGGCTACCGGGTGCTAACGAGTGGTATAGCGGGAGGCAAAGCTTGATTGGGGGTAATTTGGGACAGTTAGGGGAATCGAAGAGTCATAATAACCGTGACGGTTTGGCTCAACAGCATCAACAGATACCGAGCATGAATGCGGATGCTGCCGCAAACATGCACCTTTTTCTGATGAATCCGCATCCAAGGTCACCGTCTCCTCCTCCTACCGCGGCAACTTCTTCCACACTCCACATGTTGCTACCAAACCCGTCCACTTCCCTTCAAGGGTTTAATGTATCGGGACCTACCGGCGGTGCTTTCGGTTCCAATACTGTACTATCTCAACATCAATTTACATGGGCTCCTGATAGCTCTGGTCATGAAGGGGGCAGCACCGGTACCCAACTCAACAACCCAAGCGAAATTGGGGGTGTGGTTGAAGGGCAAGGCCTTTCGCTGTCGTTATCTTCGTCGTTGCAGCACTTGGAGGCGGCCAAGGTGGAAGAATTGAGGATGGGAGATGGTGGGTTATTGTATTACAATCCTGGAGGGGGTTCTTCTGGTACCCAGTATCTTTTCAAGAATTTGGCTGGTCATCACCAGCCATTGCATTTGCAAGGTGGGGGGGGTCAAAACCACCAAGTCCAAGTCGGGTTTGGGTCTTCCTTAGGAATGATGAACGTCTTGAGGAATTCAAAGTATGTCAAATCTGCCCAAGAATTGTTAGAGGAATTCTGCAGTGTTGGGAGAGGTCAGTTCAAGAAGAACAAGTTTGGTAGAAACAACACAAACCCTAGTTCTAACCCCGGTAGTAGTGGCGGCGGCGTTGGAGGTGGTGGTGGTGGTTCTTCTTCATCAACAAAAGATTTCCTAGCTCCTTTATCAGCAGCCGATCGGATTGAACATCAAAGAAGGAAGGTCAAACTTTTGTCCATGCTTGATGAGGCATGTACTTATTTCTCTCTCTTTCACTCTCACCTTCTCCCCCTCTCAAGAGTCAAGACCCAATCCAATTTTCTTTTTAAAATCAGAGCGAAATTGCCAATAGAAAATTCTTGCCACTTTGAAATCAAAACTTTTTAAAAAATCACCCCAATTGGAGAAAAGCCGGCTGGTACAATATAGGGTTCAATAGAGTCTAGTTGGTAGAGGTTGATTAGGCATTCCCTTCATTTTTCTATTCCACATTTCGTGTATCGTGTCAATCTGATTAGGATTGGTCGACGTATGGAAGGTACCTCGATGTTTCTGGGTTTGGTAAAATATACTGTTCCTCCTTAATATTTGATCATGACCATAAGCCCACCATCTTTCTTACCAAAATTTACTGTCATCTTATCTCAGATCTTCTCTATCTCTTTCTTTATCCATCGGAGTAATGTTGCGGAAAACCATATATCATAACTTTGCTTTGGGTTTTTTTTTTTTGCTTGTCAATTGGCTGTATTGGAGAAAGAAACACAAGGATATTCCTTGTTGCCATTTAACAATCATTTCCACTGTTCCAAAGCTTTGATTCACGCATTTATTTCTAAGGTTTTCCTTTAACGGTAATTTATTAGTCAAATTATTTTTGGGTTATAAAATTTTGAAACAGTTGCGCCTCAAATGTCAAAATCAAGTCGCACTGTTTCTACGCTTTCTTCCTATTTCTCTTGGCCTTTCGTCTGACTATTTCTTCCTTTGGTTGTTACGTCGCCTTTGGCAGGTGGATCGGAGATACAACCATTACTGTGAGCAGATGCATATGGTGGTGAACTCATTTGATCTGGTGATGGGTTACGGCGCTGCAGTTCCTTACACTGCACTTGCTCAGAAGGCAATGTCTCGACATTTCAGGTGTCTGAAGGATGCAATACAAGCGCAATTGAAGCATAGTTGCGAGCTACTAGGGGAGAAGGATGGTGCAGGGACCTCCGGCTTAACCAAAGGTGAGACTCCAAGGCTGAAGATGCTTGAGCAAAGTTTGAGACAACAGAGGGCATTCCATCAAATGGGTATGATGGAACAGGAAGCTTGGAGACCCCAAAGAGGCCTGCCAGAGCGTTCTGTCAACATTTTGAGGGCTTGGCTTTTCGAGCATTTTCTTCATCCGTACGTTGCCTTTACCAAACTCTTAATCAAGTTTTAATAATTAGGGGCATTCCTAAGAACAAATCTGCCTTTTTTTTATATATAGATATTGAGAAAGAAAGTTTGAGGAGGTACACAGACAAACATGACAAGTTTAATAAAACTTTATTAGGATGCAAAAAAAATCCAAATATTTTTTTTCTACTCTGTCGTACTTTTTAATTTGTAGAGAGGACAACAATGCACAGTGTCCTTGATTGTTGTCTCTCAGCAAAAAAAGCTGTTAAAAGAAGTTCATTTTCAGCCTCTGCTTTTTCCCTGCTGCATGTTATAATGCACATAATGGCTTTTACTTAGCTCTCAGAGAGCCAGAAATTAGTTACAAAAGAACCGACTTTGTTAAAGCATAATGGCAGAGATGTTGAAAGCAGTTGCATTCTTTACGTCTGCAACTGCAGCTGTGATGGTCTTTCTTTTTCTTAGATTCTCACGCCCATGGGGGGAAAGCAGAAAGACTTCATCTTCAATTCCATCTAGTGGTACATACAGATGGGGTGTTTTCTTTATACGAGTAAACCAAGGACTCTGATGTCATTTTCTGGTCTCTTTCTCAGGTACCCAAGCGATGCAGATAAGCATCTGTTGGCTCGGCAGACTGGACTATCGAGAAATCAGGTTGGTCCTCTGTACACTACCTTTCTCTCTCGCTACAAAACAGTAAACGCAGTAAAAGATTAAGCGGCCTCTTTATATATCAAGAAAAAAAGACAGAGAAAGACAAACAAGGGTGTTTTTCATCTTTTTGGGTCCTGGTGCCTTTGTTTTTTAAAATACCAAACCGATCTTTAAAGAAGAAAAGAAAACAAAACAAAACCCTCATCCCAGAAGGGACCCTCAGTAAGTTGAGAAGAACTTGCATGGTTTTGGGTTTGTTTTCTCTGGTTTCCTTGCCTTGCCTCCCCGTTATTAAAGGAGAAAAAAATAATCTTTCCCTCGATATTCCGTATTCTTTTCCCCCAGGATGTTCAATGGATATAGATTCTGATTATGAGTAGAGAGAATAATATATACTTCTGTATGTATAGTTAAGGGAATATATAAGGACAGAATCGTTAGATTCTTTAATTTTTCTCTCTCTTATCAAATGATATATGGCACTATTCAACCACACAAAATAACCACCATAAATATAAAGCTAGACAAATTTTTCTTATACTGACATTTTTTTATTTTTTATTTTTTGGTGGAACATACGTGTGTTGAGAATACTGCAAGTTTTTGACGTCGATTGAGTTTATCCAGCATTAATTACAAGTTACAAACCCTACAGAGAAAGATCGAACCCTAATTACTAGTATTTTAATTAATTATTACCATAGTTAATGTAGCTAATTTTTTGCATTTTGTTTACTGACACTGTAAAAGTGTTAGTTTGCATGAAATGAAAGCTTAAATCCAGAAAAAAAAAAAAAAAAAAGTTTCTGCTGCTTCGTATCAAAGTAGCTACTAAAAATACCTACTCTGCGTCGACCTATGTCTTTGCTTGACTTACATATAACCCATTAATATACGTAAGTTATTAATGATATTTCTTGTTGGTTTTAATTATAACCTGTCATATTGCATCACGCCACTGTTCATCTAGCAACTGTTTTAATGTTTTATGATGACCTGTCAGTACAAAGATTGTTATTTTTATTTATTGTGTGTATATTAAAGTTAAGAATTATTTGTTTATGATATTTATGGTATTATGTGATTTTATAAAAGATTAATAGTGTTTTTTTTTTTTTTACTTGAGAGTATTTTTTAAGCAGTTTAGTCTTTAGCATTTTAAGCATCTGATAAAGTTTAGTTATAAATACTTTAAATATTTACAAATAAAAAGCATATGTGAAAAATTAGTAATGGTCAATATGTTAATTATGGGGAGTTTGCAGGTTTCAAATTGGTTCATAAATGCGAGGGTTAGGTTGTGGAAACCCATGGTGGAAGAGATGTATCAGCAGGAGGCCAAAGAAGAAGATGTGGAGGACAAGAACCAAAATGCCAATGACAACAGCAGCAAAAACAACAGCGGCCCTGCACAGACATCGACGCCTAATTCAACAGCAGCAGCTGCCACTACGGTATCAACAGCAACACCAGCAGCAAGCAAGAGAACCGAAATCAATGCCACTGAAAATGACCCTTCATTCATTGCAATCAATAGACAATGCTTCTCGGAAAACCAAGCAAAGGAATCAAGCACCACCGTTATTACTTCCACCACCACCACTATTGCCGGTGATCAGGTGGCGCCACCCATCCCGCAGCCTTTCACGGCCGCCCATGCTCAATCAGACATGCACCACAGGATAGCAGTGGTTGACGAAACCTGCCGCGGTGGCAGCATGACTGCAGCTGCTGCGGAATATGGGACCACCACCGGAAACACTGACGTTGGATCTACTCTCATACGGTTTGGGACCACGACCGGTGATGTGTCCCTCACTCTAGGGCTACGCCATGCTGGAAACATGCCTGAGAACAGCTCTAATTCTTTCTCTGTTAGAGACTTTGGGGGCTGTTAATTAATTAAAAATTCTATATAGTATTCTCTGAAAATAGAAAACGCAAAATTTCATTCTTCCTTTTTCTTCTATATTTTGTTAAATTCTATATATTAATTAGAAAAACGCATATAGCATATCTTAGTTTAGCTAGCTAGAAGTAATATTATCATAGTCTTATTAATTATAACTGTATAGTAGATTGTTTTAAATATTTGCTTCTATTTACCTGAGGATTTTTGTACCTTATAATATCTTTTCTAGAATAACATGACATGAAATCATGTTTTTGAGGAGGAGAAAGATATATATGGTACATGTTATGAATTTGTACTTAATAGTTTTAGCAGATGGATCATATTATATAGCTGAAGTGTCTATTAATTAATTACTTTTAATTACCTTAATTAATAATTAATGTCAAAAACCCCTAACTACAGAGGCTGTTAATTAATTTATTATCTTCTTGCTTGCTTACAAGTACTCCAATATGAACCATTTCGCAGCCATATATGGTGATGGTATATACACTAATGGACAAGTTGTACTAAGGCATCCATTATTATATATATAAGAGACCAAGAGAAAGCTCCTCGGCCGATTTGCCTTTTCACCAAGTCTTGAAGACTTCTAGTTAATTTTTTTTCTTGGCAATCTGAAGTACAACAGAAGTATGAAACTCATGATATGATCACACTCTTGACTTTTAACTTAACTTAGCAACAAGTACTAAAAGTTGATGCTTTTGTTTTCGTCTGTTCCACCGGGAAAATGCCAAAAACAACAACCTCACTACCTAAAAACACACATATATATAATCATTTATAATTAGCCGGTACATGTCATTGTTAATTAACTACTTATACACCCCCAAGAGCTGTTTTTATCTGCTTTTTGTTATGATGACGATGATGAGAGCTTTAGGGGAAGAGAAGACTGATGTGGCGGGCAGCTAGGTTTTGTTCCATCACCTAATAAACAAGGCAAAAAGCAAACCAAGGTTGCTTAAAATCCAAAACAATAAGTTACAAAGCAACAAGTACTCTTCACCTAACATGTTGCTTCTCCTTTGAGCAAAACTATAACCAACAGCTATATATAGAGAAATTGTATTTTTCTAAGTAGTTCTGCTGCATCGATCGATTCCATCTTAATCCAAGGTTGCATATAATTTCAGGCAGGAAAAAATGTATCGTAAAAATAGTATGCTAACTAGCTTTTATATAGATATATATATTAATTGTACTGGAAGAATATATGAATGTGATATCCCAGCGGTTTTATCATTATGTAGCCGCAAAAATACAAAACCCTCATCAAACCCAAATGTTTCACTTTCACACTTCATTATGGCAGCAACCAGTTTCACTCTCGGGTCTACTTTGGTTTTCTTGATTTGAGAGGTTCCTAGAATAAAAACAAGAAAGAGAAATTGTAATGTAACTATATATATATATGTGTATGTCTATACGTTAATGCTATTTATATATATATACATATTAAAAAAAAAATCTCATAAAAGAGTCTTACTGGATCCCATTACAGTTTACTGAATTTGTATGTAAAAAAACAGTTATCTACTCGTAACATTGTTGTTTCCATTGTTGTTTCCATTGTTGTTTCCAATGCTCTGAAGAGCTCAGGTAATGTTGGAGCAAGGATGTGATGTGAAGAAGGTGGAGGGAGAAATGTGAGGGGGTCCCATTTGGTGCAGAGGATGAGCATTGGGCAAACGGGGATCTATCATCTCCATACGGACACACTTCAGAATGGTTTTTTTGTCTGGTTTGGGTTGATACTTTAAATTTACAAATTTAATGTGAACAAACGGACTAAAAATTTGAACCGGATTTTTGGCCAAATGATTTGACTCCGAACCTTAAGTACTTGGGTGAGGTAGTCGGAGTTTTGAGTTCTATCACCAAAAAGCAGCTTGATGACCGCACACCTCATTTGAGGAGTGAAATGTTCACCCAATCTGAGAATTAAATTCTCAATTGCTAACAACTAATTCATACTAATTTTCTAATCATTATCTTTGTCAAAAAAAAAAAAAAAACTAAAAATTTGATGTGAAGGCCTTAAATTTTCGATTTTAATAGAGAGGACCCCCACACACAAAGGGGCCTTTTGTGTGTATGATAATATTGTCCAACTTTGGGTGCTGTGCTTGTGAACCCCACCCTAAAATTGCCTACATAGAAAGCTACCCGTTCCCACACAGACTGTCCACCAACCAGAAAATTCCTGTGCCTTTGCCCTGGATCCCACTAGTTTTGGGCCTGGGCCCACTGGGCTGCTAATAAATGACTGATTCGAAATCAGATCATGGGTAGGACAGGGTCAACACTGTGTAAAAAACCATACGGATACATAGATAGCCTCGTCCACCAACAAATGCTCTGTGTATTAATTCCAGTAGGAAGAAATTAATTTTTTTAAAATAAAATTTTAAATTTAAATTTTTGTAAATAGAGAGATAAATGTTAAAAGATTTATCTTTTAATAGAATTTAACTTAATTTAGCTTTATATTAGTTAGAATCTAATATAATTTTTAAATATTGAAAGATTTAGTTAAAAAAAAAAAAAACAAATTGCTTCGTTCTGCTGCTCTGCCATGTCTAATTCAGCACCACGTTATGACCCAGAGAGGGCCAGGGGCGTTCGCCCCCTAGACTTTTTGAAAAAAAATAAATAGGTCTTATTAAAAAAAGAATAAAATGGTATATTGTAACTTTTATTTTTTAATAGGTTTTATAATAAATTACTAACCACTTAATAAGTAAAATAGATTTATAATAAGATTTTTATTTATTGACCATATTTATCATTGTAAAATATACATAGTTAATAATCATTTGTATCAAATAACGAAATAAAACTAACTTAAAATTAGTATTGTCAATTTTCTAGAATATTTAATTTTAATTATCTAGATCAAATTGAGTAGTATTTTGTAATTGAAATTGTATTTTGAATTGAAATTTAAATATTTATATATTTTAACTAGTTTATCTATATTTAAAATTCTTAAAATTTTAGTTTTTACATATTTAAATTTTAATTTTATTTACACATTAATAAATTTATTTTTAGCATGCACTGCATTTCAAATAGCACTTCACATCATATCTGAACTAAGTGGTCCAATGGTTATATGCCTTATCTAAGATACACCCCCTATTTTAAATCCCCTTCCCCAAAATTGTAATCCCTCAAAAAAAAAAAAATAGAGCACTGCACCTCCCCTAAAATTATTTTCTCACTCCATCGTCGTTATGACCAAATAAATAAATATTAAGGCCACCTAAAAATGTTGTAGTTTTGTTTGATTTCATTGTCAAGGGTAATTGATTGTTATAATTGTTATTTAATAACTAATAAATTAACTAATATTTATTATTTAAAGATTTAAAATTAATTTATAAATTAATCAAAATAATTGAGTTTTTTTTACATTTTCTCTAAATTAAAAATTTAAAAATAATTTATATATTTACTTATCTTATTCTTTAAAGAATTAAAAGATAAAATGAGATTTTTTATAATAACATAATTAATTAAACTAAATAAATAATGGTATAATTAAAAAATATTAATTTACATTAAAAATAA